GAAAACCCTAATGTAATATTTGTATTTTTCTTCTTGGTTCTTTCGGTAAAGTCACGTAGAAAGGAAGTAATAAAATAATAAAAATAAAACATAATAATATAATTCTCACGACATTTTGGCCACAACGCAAGCATCCGTCCTCAGGTGAAGACCAGGTCTGTCGGGGAGACAGCGTCTGAATGAAACACCACCACGCTTGGAGCGTATATTTAAGCTGGGTTGAAAGGGGGGAAGGGCGCCTTGACAAAATAAGTTGCATATCAAGAGGAATTTAGTATATTTATGGGAAATGCAGGTATGTGATTAGTACTACTTGTGAAATGCGTAGGAGGTGGGCGGGGGGTTTCAAAGTCATATTATGCCCGTGCATTATGCAGGATTAGCAGCATCAAAGGGAGGGGATAGGGGTAGCATTAATAAAGGGAAGGAATGTTAATAGTATGTAGCTGCAGTAACTAAACAACCACGTAAAAAACTAAAGTATAAACTACATAGTATCATCAGTATACTAAATATACTTTCCAATAAGCTGAGCTACTAACAGTAAGTAATACATCACGAAAGCTTTAAATCGAAATGTAATATTTGTAGTTATTTCATCCAGCCATCGGTTGCCAAGCTGAGGCCAGCCGCTCGCCATGCTTGAGAACCCGGTTGAACCACAGTTGGCTGGCCAGATTAGGACCCAGGATGTCAGTGGTGCCAGCTCAGCACCCCTGGCCATTGAGCTACCCGGCCACATAGTTTTAAATCAATCAATTGAGTTTATTGGTTGTAGACACTTTTCTATTTGACCTTCGACTGATGCCAACTTAGCCTGCACAATTCTCTCGCTGTCTCTTTTTCTCTCCGCAACAGGTACTTTTTAAAGTGGCGGCATTAAAGCACCTGGGTACAAACATGCATCTTGGACGTTTACGGCAATAGCACATTTCGCTGGAGGTAATTAAATAACCGAGTGCCGTACGTGCATTGCCGTTATTTGTTGCGTGAGCATCTTCAAACGAACTAAGAGTTGTGAGGCAGCTTTTTTTTTTACAGTAGCTTGCCACGGAACTTTTTTTTCGTTTTTTGTCTGAAGAAAGGAGACCGGCATGAATTGCCATCATTTTCGTGACAGCTTATCTCTTCGTGGGCAATATGACAAGGGGGTAGAGGGGGTGGTTAAGAGAGGGAAACTCTGAAAGTTCCACGCCGGTGCAGGGGTCCCACCTCACACGAGGAATTTGACCAGCATGGGGCTCGTCTCGAAGCTGATTTAACGACACGCTTTAAACCAAAAAAAGTTATAAAATCGCCAATAAAAGAAGAAGAAGCAACCTCAGGACTTGCACTGTAAAAAAGAAAAGTTGCACAATGTCGAGTGATAGCATTACAATGGCAAAGACTACAGTGAGGTGGTGAGGGGGGGGGGGGAACTGGCACAACGTTTCTGTCAAGTTCTAAGTTGTAAATAAAAATACTCTTCCTTGTTGAAAAATGAAAAAAAACTGCCCATTGTAAATTAATTGTAATATTTCGTGCAGGTATTCAAACTAAACTATTTTTTTTATTTTACCAGGTAAGGCCGGCTGAGCTATATAGCTCTTTTTCAGATGGGATCTAACCACAAATGATAGCTCAAGGAAGTGGCTTATCATCACGTGGACATTTATATCAGCCAAATACTCTGAAACGCACGTTTCTAAATGTAGAGGGAAAAACCGGAGGACCCGGAGAAAAATCCACGTGACCACAGGTAGAACATGCAAACTCTAATTATTCAGCAGGCGTCAGGGTCGGGATCGAAGACATGACTATCTGCATACCAGGCGAGGTATTTAACATCTCGCCACCGTGACACCCAAACTGAAAATATCATTCAGAAATGTACGACATTTCCACGTGTTTTATCGTAAAATGTAGCTCAAGCGTGACATTACAATCATCAAAATATATACCCAGCGTTGAACGGACGATAAATACTTTAATATCGATCGACACTAACAGACTCCACTAACAGTACTTGTGCAGTGAGCCCGTCACCCCCTGTTCGAGTCAAAACAACAATGTAGGCAACTGAGCTGGCAGTGAGCGCATGAGCACAAATAAAGTAAAAAACAAGACAATCTTGATTTGAAGCTTTCGTGACCGCAAGAAATGCATACCCTTTGGTTCTTTCAGTAAAGTCACGTGGGTAGAAAAATAAATAAAATAAAAAATAATAAATCACGACGTTTCGATCGCAACACAAGCGGAAAAAAATAATCCAGCAGTGGAACTGCTGAACCAGCGAGAGAGCTGTTACGTACGTGACTTTACCGAAAGAACCAACAACTGCCTTACGGCGTTTCAGCAATGGCCCTGCTTCAGAGTATAGAAGCATTTCGACTTAAAGCTTTCGTGACTGCAGGGATTCATCTTCTTGGTTCTTTCGGTAAAGTCACGTAGAAGGGAAGTAATAAAATAATAAAAATTAAACATAATAAAATAATTCTCACGACGTTTCGGCCACAACACAAGCAGCCGTCCTCAGGTGAAGACCAGGTCTGTCGAGGCGACAGCGTCTGTTTTCTTTTAGACGCTGTCGCCTCGACAGACCTGGTCTTCACCTGAGGACGGCTGCTTGTGTTGTGGCCGAAACGTCGTGAGAATTATTTTATTATGTTTTATTTTTATTATTTTATTACTTCCCTTCTACGTGACTTTACCGAAAGAACCAAGAAGAGTATAGAAGCACTTACTGTCCAATCTGATTTTCAATGCCCCCCCTCACTCACTGTGCCACTATTTAGAGCACTGCGTCATTATTGGCAAACTAACACACAGCATTTCAGTTCTACGAGCCCTTTATTTGTGATCCAATTATCCCATCTTGGATGAACCTGTACCATTAGCACCGCTGTAAGGTCATGTTTACCTTCGTGCTCATTGAAGAATGAATCAATCTCATTTGCACACGGGCATTCCCACTACTTCCTACCCAATAGATTCCTATTCCCATTCTCTAGAACCTCGTCGATGACACTGGACACCCATGCGTGCTTTGCGAATCGAGGTGGGGGGGGGATATCTCGTCCACCAACTATATCTCGAGTATAAAAACAGCTCGGCTCAATGTTACCGTTGTTTAAGAACCCTGGGTATGCCTATTTTTATAAGAGCTCTTTAACGTATCGAGTGGCTATGTCAAGACAGGGATGATTGTAACATGGCAACCTGTGTGTGGCTAGACTGGCCCACCATTGTTACGCAAGTTCGTGCCAGTCATCTGCAACGCCGCGTAACCTGGCTCTGAAGCAAGTTTAGTATGCGAACTTTGGGGAAAGCGACGATGCGAGGGATATTCCAACGTTGAGCAGTGGGAGAAAAATAAGTGGACAGCGACGGGCTTGCGGATGATCGCATGTTGGATGAGACTAAACAATCGGAGAAGCAATGAGTGAAATTGTGAAGGCGTCGTGGACAAATTAACCATGATAGCAGCGATAAAAGAGTGGACAGGGAGGCACCTGACCACCGTGTATGTGTGTGGGTGGTGGTGGGGCACCAGCGGTTAGCGCGCTGCGCTACGAACCCGGCGACCCCAGTTCGATTGCCGTTCACGGCAGCCAACACCAGTGACCATTATCTAAATCTAGTCCTGAGCCTCCCCTAGGTCGACTCAGCCTCAAACGAGTACCTGGCGCGATGTGTAAACATTCGCACTCCAATAGGCACAGTAGGTACTGTGCCTCGAGCCTATGGAAACTAAAGGGTCTACGATTTTTTTTTACTATGTTTTTCTAATTTAGCCTAAAATCGCAGTCAAATATCCTTAGTCTCTGACACTTCAGAAATGATAATCAGTTGCCATAGTCAACGTGTTGACTATGGCAAGTGATTTTCTATGCAGTCATTTTCACAACATTTTGTATTTTAGAAAAAAAAAATTTCCATTGTTTTTGCCACTTAATAAGTTGGCTCATCGTTAAAATGTCTTTGCAGTGGTAACAAGTTGTTGACTCGTTGTAAGTGAGGCTTATTACACCTAAAATAACAGTCGAAAAAATCCTTCAGCTTGAACGAAAGAAAAGCAACATGGCGCTTGCCATGCAGTCGTCCCGTCAGAACATTGAATTTTGTTATCGATGAAAATGAACGTCACCATTTTAAAGCTGCGTCATCCGACATGATAATCATAGTAAAAAAAACAATTTGTTGAAGAAATTTCGCCTGTAATATTTTTAGGCTTACCTAGTATTTTTTCTCTCAACAATTTATAATTAAATCTGCTCATCATGTGCCGCAGGGCACCGACTAAATAGTGAATGTATCAGCAGTAACGACATCGGTCCAGAGGCTGCGCGAAGTGGCGCGTGAAACAAGTGGAGTGACAGCGGAGGTAGTAACACGGGGCAGCAGCAGCAGCAGTAATTTCACAACGTTTAACACGTAGGCTTTCGCGACCAATATCATCCATAATAGAGGGTTTTTTGGGTTAGAGCGAGTAAATATATATAAGTGTGCTGTACTCGTGACGAATTGTCATGTTCTGTTTACATGACAACCCTTACTCGTTTTAACGACACATTCATATATTTACGCGATCTACCCCAAAAACACCTCTATTGTGCAGAAAGTTATCACTGAAGGAGTGAGAGCGGCGATAGTAACACGGAGCAGCAGCAGCAGCACCAACTGCAGAAAGCGATCACTTGAGGCCGACGAAACAGAAGTGCAGAGGGCCTTACAACTACCTTAATCGGGCCCTGGCCGGGTGTGGTGCTGGCACATTCACACCCCCTCGTGTGCCAGCCTGACATCCTTCACAGGTGCTGCTCGCTAACAACACTCATCCCAAAAGTCTGTTGAGGCTATCCGGGGGGACCTTTGTCTTTGCGGCGGTGAGCAATAATTGAACAGTGCCCGTCAGAAGCACTGAGATAGCAGAAAAAAGGAGCGAGATCTGTGCGACCCGCAGCCAGACCCTTCGAGGGCAGAGGCTGTGGCGAAAGTCAGCTCAACTCGGACTCACTCACCGAACATAGAGGCATTTTCGAAGGATGATCGTGCCCCCTCGGATGACTCTCCAACGTCAGACATTTTCAATTCTGCGCCTGGGAAGACAGTCACACACACAAAGTGGCGGCACCGCTGCAAGAGAAGAACCGAGATTCACTCGCTCACCATCACTGACTGGTACGTAGCAATGAAAGAAAAACATAATAATGTGACGCTTACAGGCCAGACAAACCACCGGGCCAAAGATGACTCACTCGCCTTGGCTCCTTTTTTTGTTACCGCACAGATGGGAGAATGAGCAGCGAGCGAGCCAATATGCAAGGCAAAGGAGTTCACGTAAGGAGAGTGGTTTGAGCAACGCGCGTGTGCGTGTGTGAGTGAGCGTGTATTTGTGTGTGCGTGTGTGTCTTGCCTTTCCCGGAGATAACGACTGACAGCAAGTTACATAAACTCTGTCGAGCCACATGGGCAGATTTGTTATTATTATAGGTTCCCATAACACGCCAAAGAATTACCAGCGCTGGCAAAAAGCAAATACACTCTGGGGCATCGATGTTTATATCTACGCTATGTGCGTATGTGTACCTTGCTATTGAATGTATACTTTTCATTGTCTTTAGATGCCGCAGCGTTTAGATTGGAGGTCCTTTGTCAATCCACTGCTGGATTAAGGCTTCCTCGTGCTGTGGAGCTTCTTGTTGGACAATACTTTACGACGCTGGTTCGTGTGGGTTTTGTGACGGAGGGGATAAGGGGACTTGTTCAGACATCACACATCACTGATGTTCTTCTTGGTTTTTTCGGTAAAGTCACGTAGAAGGGAAATAATAAAATAATACAAATAAAACATAATAAAATACAATTCTCACGACGTTTCGGCCACAACACAAGCAGCCGTCCTCAGGTGAAGAACAGGTCTGTCGGAAAGACATCACTGATGTTATCCACGGGAATCAACCTTTATATCTGTGCGCTCTTAGCGTATTGCGCTATCTATTTGCACCCTGCCAGATTTACATGCGATATGAAAACGCATTGTGCGATTCTATTCGTCCTGAGCCAGTAATGCAAATTACAAAATATTTAGGACAGGGAACAGCTGACCCCGTAAAACAACCTCTATTTTTATGTATCATACTGCATTTTTCATCGCAGCCTCATCTGCCAAAAAAAACCCCACGACACAACATTGGCCTTTGACCCATTTCAAAAGGTGGACTGCATCTATGTTGTGCGAGGCATTGCAGTAATCACATGTGGCTCTCCGTTTTGCAAAGAATGCCATTCTAACATTCACTAAGCGATCATTAAAAAATATATACCGCGCAGCGCAGTACTTGCGCGCGTGCAGATTTATCCTGTACCATTAAGAAAAGCTCCGAACATGCGCTGATTGAGCGTGCAAAATAAGAAAAAAAATCTCTGCCTTGTGGCTCACTGGCAAATGCACTAGTTTTTTTTTTTAAACAAACAACGAGTGATAGATACAAATGTCAGTGCTGTCCTCCTCCAGCCTGTATTAACACAGACGGACATTTTTTGCAAGATGCCTGCTTTGGCATTAAGCAGAACAGCAGTAAGCACCCACGTCACTGGTCACCACTCGCCCCCACGTACCCTGGAATATTTACGTTGGGTCAAGAGTTCACGTATTTAACTTGGCGTTTTTTTGTAACTGTATATTTTATCTCTGTATTTTTTTTATTCGTGTTACTTGTTACTGTATGCAATGGAAAGGTGTTTATATGTCAGCCGTGTTTTAATATTTAATCTCTTTGATATACTGTGCATTGACCATTGTAAAATGCTCTCTCAAAACTCTTACTCTGCCTTCTGTGTTTAGAGCAGGGCTGGAGAACGTCCGGCCCGCGGGCCGTATGAGGCCCTCGAAATCATTTGGTGTGGCCCTGCCAAGGCAACCGCAGGCGGGACTCGAAATTCAATAAATCTAGGAGCAAACATGGAAAAGCAGTTGCGAGTAGCAGCAAAATCATCAATACCAGCTAACATCATCACACGCCTCGCCAAAGAGAAGCAGTTCCAGCCATCACATTATGGGTGAGTTAATTAAATGTTTGACCAAATATAACAGGCTAATTTTGAAGTTGATAATTTTGTATAGCCTGCGAATGATGTTATAAATATCCAAATGGCCCTTGGCAGAAAAAAGGTTCCCCACCCCTGGTTTAGAGCATGGCCATTGTTCAATTAGAAAATAACAGGTTATTTACTTGAAATTAATTCATATCAGGATTTGCTAACGAGCATAGCTGTTATGCATTTTCAGCTTGACGGTAACACCGTACAATGTATACGCATCGAATTAAAACCATTGAACCCACGTGAAAATCTGAGCGGTCAACTTCTGAGACTTCAATTCAGCTCGATAAATTCTGCTTAAACAAAAGGAAAACGCGCCTCAGCCTCGGCGAAGCGTGACCAAAGCCGGCCCCTCAATTTCAAAATCAACGAGCGCGCTCACGCAAGCCACGGGTGTTTTTTTTTTGGTTTGCAAGACATTGGGAGCAAAACGACCGCGGAACGCAATGAGGACCATCGCTGTGCGCGCATCCTCAACAGCGCTTTCGCGTGACATTTTGCAGAATTCGTCTGTTTTTTGCGAGCGCCCGTTGCCGAGGCAATAATCTTGACTCGTTTGTTTGCCCCCCCCCCTCCCTTTTTTGTTATTTTCTCCTCGAGAAATGAGAAATGCAAGGGGACACTTCACGGTGCTTTGTATTCTTCTGAAAGGGAGACGCGCGTGTGTGTGTGTGTGCGTGTGCATGTGTGTGTGTGCATGTGTGTGTGCGCGCGTGTGTGTGCGTGCGTGTGCGTGCGTGTGTGTGCATGTGTGTGTGTGTGCGTGTGCGTATGCGTGTGTGTGCGCGCTCGTGTGTGCATGTGTGTGTGCATGTGTGTGTGTGTGCGCGCGTGTGTGTGCATGTGTGTGTGTGTGCGTGCGTGTGTGTGTGCGTGTGTGTGTGCGTGTGTGTGTTTGCGCGCTCGTGTGTGCGTGTGTGTGTGCATGTGTGCGTGTGCGCGCTCGTGTGTTCGTGTGTGTGCCTGTGTGTGTGTGTGCGTGTGTGTGCGTGTGTGTGTGTTCGTGTGTGTGTGTGCGTGCGCGTGTTGTGCATTGCTGCCTTGGCAATGGCTGTGCACAAATGGAGTTGGAGCTCCTCTGTTGTAGGGACATCACTTTATTATGCCGGGATAATGGGTGTCCCGTGTGCCTGCGTGTCCTTGATGCCTCGCGTTGTAAGAGCAGGCTTCAGGGTTTTATTTATTTATCTTTTAAACACGCGATACTGGCAAAGACCTGTAAGGCAGCCTGGCACAAACGATGTGCGTACATTATGTGGAACTTCTTTCGCACCGTACGTAGCCAACCGTGCTAATCGGAGGTGCAACAGACTAAACACGAAAGCAGTTCTAAAGAAATGAGTTTGCTTTGAAGGACATATTCACATATGTACACTAGATTCTGAAAACATATGACCACCACCATCATTCATTAACACCACCATATGGAATAAATGCAATGAAAAGTGTTGTTATAGGCAATTTTACCTCTTCAGAGCAAGATGAAATATCACCACTCCCATAAAAATATATTTGCAATGAACGCATAACACAGATACACGATATCCATCCTGCACTAAGCGACGTTGTTGCTTATGCAAATGCTAATATTTAATGGAATTGGCAAACATCTGAATCCATGACCCCTCCTGAAAAAAAGGAGTCTTCAAATTCACTTAGACATTGTTGGTTAAACAAAACGCTGCATGAAAAGACATTTTCACGAATGAGTTTGCATAGCTCCGTCAATTCACTGCTGGACAAAAGCTATCACCATGCCACGTATCCACGGTTCAATGTGAATGCGCCATGATATTGAGGGACTGTGTGTTGTCTTGGTGTGGTCTGGGATTGTTTTTTTGTTGTATATTTGCTGCCTTGCCCAAGCTTGCATTGTGTTGAAAAATCGACAGCAATTTATCTACTCTGGCAATTAGTTATAAATTTCTACTTAGTTATGTATCGTGACTTGCGTAACCTTTCCTCTATTTGCACTCCTATCGGTTATATTTTGTATTGTTTGTTGTTGTAACTTGCTGATATCTGTGAAAAGAGCTTGTTAGCTCCTCGGATTCCTCCTCCAGGCAAAATAAAGATTCTCCTTCTGACGTCCCTGTGTTTGATCTCACTCCATCACACTGCTCACTGCGCATTCGCGAACAGTGCAGCTTTGCTTCTCTTTCCACGAGTTCGGTTTGTGCGAATTCACGTGTACGTGGCTAGCCTATTTCATCTCAAAATTTGTTAATTGGGGTTTGAATTCACTCGACATGCGGCAATGCGGTCAGATGCTGGGCATTGCAAGTGTGTGTGTGTATACTGTGTGCGCAGGTGGTGCATCGGCCAGTCATCTCCAGTCAGTCGACCCGTGGCACCTTGGCCTGCCCTGTGACCAGTACCAGATTAAGCTAGTGCGGGGCCTGTAGTATATTTTATAAAGTGGCCATGAATAACAAAAAAACACGTTAATTTTAAAACACAAATTTTTTACTTGCGTAGTAAAGTAATTCTATTTTTTCATTTGCTATACAGGCAGATACTACGACAAATCGCTAACCTTAACCACGCAATCGTTCATAAAAGTTGATGGCAGTATAGTACTATAGTAATAGAGCAAGTGCAGTTTCACTGAATTGATAGCTTGAATGCATTTAGCGTGGGGCCCTTGAAATTGCGGGGCCTGTAGCATGTGTAGCTACTTTTGCTACTAGGATAATCCGGCACTGCCCGTGACCTCCTGCCAGCGGGCGTTCGACACTTCACGTGTCCTCAAAGTGCACATAGCCTGGCACAAGCGCCGTGGTGACGTGAATGCCACTTCGTGGCGAATGGCGGCTGTTGTTGTTGTTGTGTGCGCTACTCGGCAGACAGCTGTCTCCTCGTGCGGATTCCCTTTTGTGCGCCCTTTGTTTGGAACGCATCTACTACTTCGACTACAGCGTGGAGCGGAGGGAACCTCGTACCAAGGAAATCACTCGCACACCGAGGTTAGCCGTACCCAGGAAATTAACTGGGA